GCCATCTCGCGCCCGCCCAGGCCGGGCCGCGTGCGCAGTCCCGGGTGCGGAGCGCTGTTCCCGGCTCGCAGTCCCGGGATGAGCCGATAAAACCCCTCCCAGGCCAGCGGCCGCGAACAGACTCCAACCTGTGCTTTTTAACCAGGGAAACCGCGAGACTCGCAGGGCTGGAGCGCGCCGGGCAGGCTCGGCCGGCGGGGCGTCCTCTGGGGTCGGCTCGCGCCCTTACGCCGTCCGTGCGGTTTCAGGGCCAGTCAGGTCTCCACACCCTAGTCTTTAATGTCCTGATCTCTAAGTTTTAACATACAACTGCTCTCCTTTCCAGTCCTCTTAGAAGGAAAAAAAAAAGACTTTTCAGTTCGGTTTATCTGGAGTTTAACTCTTTGGAGATTGAAGCTCTGCTATAGCTGCAATAGTACTTTGCAAAAAGAGCTTACCTTAACTTTGTAGCAAAGCTGTACTTTATGGCCGGGCTTGAAAAATTACGAGCTTTTCGAGCTTGAAAAATTACCCAGTGTCAACATCCTGGCTGATGCTGGCCGTGGAGAAGTCCGAGTTTTGTAGAGGTCTGGAAGCAGAGAATAGGACCAAGCAGCACCCAGAGGCTCTGCTGCTTAAAAAAAAAAAAAAAATTAAAACGGAAAGTTCTCTAGATCGAAAACTCTCCCAGTCCGAGGGAAGGAAGTAAGAGGAAGGTGATAGCAGTAGTAATGAGGAAAAGAATCCATGCCCTCCCGGTGCAGAGCCAGGGCACCCGCCTATGCAGAGCCAGGGCGCTCCGGGCGGCATCGGCACAGGGTCTGAGGCCCCACCGGTGACAATGGAGGGGTGAAGTGGGAAATGGTTTTAGTTTAACTGCCCAGGGGTGGCTTTGCACAAGGTCAGTCTTCCTTGCGCATCAGGGGAACGGGCCTCACACGTACTCTTCTCACCCGGGCAAAGTTTAGCTGGCCTGGGGTAGAAATGGCAAGTAACTAAAATAAAAACTGCGTTTTCTGGAACCCTTGGAAAGTCCTCCCGCCCAGCCCCTCTCTGCAGCCCCCCAGAGCTGCCACACAGTACTGCCTGGCTCCCTCTTTGCAGAGCAGCTGGGCCGCCAGGGAGTGAGGTGTGCGGTGTGCTTTTTATAGCAGTCGGTGCACAGAGCAAGGAGGCAGAAAGGAAATGGAGAATGAAAGGAAAAAAGCGGATTAGGCGGCTGGGCCTGCAAAGATACAGCACGTTAAACATCACGGGTGTCTGGTCGGAGATTTCGCGCCAGGCCCGGCTCCAATACACAAAGGCCGCCGTCTGGGGCGCCCCGCCGGCCTGATGTGTATTGGGAGCGGGGTTGCGGCCGGGCCACTGCACGCGGGTGGGGGCTGGGCTGGGTCGTGCCAGAGCTGGGCGGTCTTGCCTGCCTCGCTGAGGGTGGGCGGAGGGTGAGGAAAAGTCCAGAGAAAGGGGTGGAGGAGGCTGCAGGGCCCGTTGGGTTCCCGGAGTTTTACACTTCAAGCTCCTGTAGGTTAACCAGCTGACGGGATGAGGCTTCTGCTTTTTATTCGGTGGTTTTGCTAAGCGAGGACGAGTGTGGCGGCCTGTTCCTTGCAGTGAGAGCTTGAGCCAGGGCGTGGGACTGGACAGTGAGGGTCCAGGAGGAGGGGGAGAGTGTGCAGAAGAGCGGCTTGCTGCCCTCTTAGCCCTGGTCCTGACTGGTTTGTGGTTTGGAACGGAAGCAAGTCTGCAAGGTGGCTCGGCAAGGCCTGGGGGCAGAGCCGGCTGCCTGGCGTTTGTTTCACAGTCGCTGTTTTCGGACCCACAGGAGGGCCCGGGTTAGTGATCAGCGGCCCGCAGGACGCCAGGCCTCTGGCTCGGCAGGGGTTCTAGGCGCAGCTCAGCGCCAGGCTTGCAGGCCAGAGCTGGGTCTGGGCACTCAGCACTCCGGCGGAGGCTGGGGGGTGCCGCGGCAGCGGGGTGCGTGCGCGTGCGCCGGTGTCGCGGGCTGGCCTCTGTGCTGTCCCGGATCAAGGCTTCGCTAATCTTTGCCGTGGCATCTGTTTGCTCCCTTGCCCGCTGCCCACAGGTCTGGTTCAAGAACCGCCGGGCCAAATGGAGAAAGCGGGAGCGCAACCAGCAGGCGGAGCTGTGCAAGAACGGCTTCGGGCCGCAGTTCAACGGGCTCATGCAGCCCTACGACGACATGTACCCCGGCTACTCGTACAACAACTGGGCTGCCAAGGGCCTCACGTCGGCCTCGCTGTCCACCAAGAGCTTCCCCTTCTTCAACTCCATGAACGTCAACCCCCTGTCCTCGCAGGCCATGTTCTCCCCGCCCAGCTCCATCTCGTCCATGAGCATGTCGTCCAGCATGGTGCCCTCGGCCGTGGCGGGCGTCCCGGGCTCCGGCCTCAACAGCCTCAACAACTTGAACAACCTGAGCAGCCCGTCGCTGAATTCCGCCGTGCCGACGCCCGCCTGTCCCTACGCGCCGCCGACTCCGCCGTACGTGTACAGGGACACGTGTAACTCGAGCCTAGCCAGCCTGAGACTGAAAGCCAAGCAGCACTCCAGCTTCGGCTACGCCAGCGTGCAGAACCCGGCGTCCAACCTGAGCGCTTGCCAGTACGCCGTGGACCGGCCGGTGTGAGCCCGCCCGGTGCTCCGGACCGCAGCAGGGCCCTGCGCCCTCCCTGGAAGGACTGGGATCGCGCTAGGAGGTCGTGGGCACTGAGGGGAGCGAGAGGAGGTGGAGAGGGAGAAGGAAACCACTGAATTACAGAGCGTCTTTGCTTTCACAGGGGTCCCGCGTCTGACATCTGTGCTTTGAGTATTTCCAACCGCGAGGACTCTACACAAATGGTCGACTGGATATGACATTTTAACATTACGATAAGCTTGTTATTTTTTAAGTTTAGCATTGTTAACATTAAAATGACTGAAAGGATGTATATATATCGAAATGTCAAATTAATTTTATAAAAGCAGTTGTTAGTAATATCACAACAGTGTTTTCAAAGGTTAGGCTTTAAAATAAAGCATGTTATACAGAAGCGATTAGGATTTTTCGCTTGCGAGCAAGGGAATGTACATACTAAATGCCACACTGTATGTTTCTAACCTATTATTATTATAAAACGTGTGAATATCGGTTTTAGAATAGTCTCTCTGGTGGATGCAATGATGTTTCTCAAACTGCTCTGTACGACATACCCTGTGTGCAACATTTCGTACAATATCATTGTTTTACTTTTCAGCAAATATGAAAAATGTGTTTTATTTCATGGGAGTAAAATACACTGCATACAGATCAGTCTGGATTCTTTCTGCCCTCCTCTGTCACCTGGCCAGGGCATCTCCGTCACTCACTGCCACCTGAACAAACCAGTTTCCACTGCCTGGCCAGTTACGCCTCAGGAGGGAGCGGCACTGACTTAAACTGGGGAGAAATAAATTATAGCCACTCATCGGAAACTGAATTTTTGTAAAGGCACTCCCAGAAAAAAAAGGGAGGGGGTTTGCAAAGTCTGGTCTTGTCTCTGAGATTTTTTTTTGGCTGCAGCCCAGAGGATTCCATTATTGCTAGTAAATAACACAGAGAAGAAAGAAATCAATTCCAAAAGCTCAGGGCTTGGGATGACTGTCACGTTTACTCGTCGGGAAGCCCACCCGTCATCTGCTCTGGACCAGCGAGTGTGCATGTCGTGTACAGCGCGTGTGCCTGCCTTGGGGAACTCACTACAATAAATTCACAAGGAAACACCTCTAGTTCAAAATATTTAGGCCTCCACGTTTATCTTTCCGGCTTAAGTAGGGAGATCCTTCATGTTATATTGCATTACTATTTCCAAATCCTTCGGAGACATTAAAAGAAACAAAGACCATTTCTAATAACCACAGCCCTTGGGTTTCCGAAAGAGCTGGGGTGAGAGGTTAGGGTGGTGTTTCCTGAGCCTTGTCGGGCAATATGTAGTTGAGGCAAAGGTCATGCTCCCCGTGTTTTGTTTTAAATAATATTGACCCATTAATTCTAAACCTGCTTGTTCCCGAAATTATGCAGGATTATAGTTTGCAAACTGTGAGGCACTGAAGCAAATCAAGATGAATTACAGCCCTGGCCTTCCTCCTATCTGCCATCTACCGGGGAGTGAGGTCGGTGAGAGTGTTTAAAAGAACTTCAAGCACCCGCACCTCCTTTAATCTGTGGTTTTCAGCTCTTTTTTTAAAAATGTGAAATCTGATTTCATAACAAATAGTAGCAAAGACGACTTAGTTCCAAAGAACTCCTCACTGGCGCTCCGAGTGGGGGGGCTAGGGTCTCTCCTAATCTTGTCACTCCTCCCCGCTCCGGCCACCGGTGCCGCTGGGGAGAGGAAAGGGCCGCCAGCTTTCTGGAGCCCAGGAACCCTGTGTTTTGGCGCTCAGGTTGCATTTATCTGCCTGAAACTGGACCTAGGAGATGGGGGAGCGCTCACTGCTTTGTCCTGCAGGAATCGACCGCTGCCCCTTAAGGAGATCGCAGATAAGGCCCCATTTAAGATCGGGGCTCAACACACATTAACTTTCTTTTTCTTCCGTCTTCTTAAAGCTCTGCCTTCGATCTGCGGCGTGACCACGCGGCAGTGGGGGCAGATAAAAGCCCTTTGGACTAGGGTCACCTCCGTCCTTGTTCACTGGAGAGCAGTGGAGAGGAAAGCGGTCCCCACGGCGGACTTTGGCTTCAGGAGCCGCGGGGCCCCAGGGCCTGGGCCTCGGCGCCTCCGCCTGGTAGGGGCGGGCACGGCGGGGGAGGTGAGGGAAGGGGCCGGGAGAGCGGATTTGGGGCTGGGGGCCAGGAGCACCGACGGGGTCTGCCGGGGCACTCGCGTCTCCAGCAGATCGGAGAGGGCCCGGGCGCTGGTAGAGGCGGCGGGCTCCTCCTGGCCTGGCTGCAGAAACGCCTCAGCCATCTGAGGAGGCAAAAATGGAAGTCGAGGCTTGGGGGACTGGTCGCCTCCCCACTGGAGCGGTGCGGGCTGGGGGCGGAGACTTGGACGCCTAGGAGGCCCCTTTCCGTAGGCTTCCTGGAGGGCGGGCGCTCCCCCGCCGCGCCCCCGCCAGCGCCGCCTCCGCCGCTCCGCCGCCTCGGTTCCACTCAATCGATTTTTGCTGCATGTCAACACTTACCACCGGTGAGTGCGAGGGCATTTCTTCTCTCTCGGTCTCTTAATGATTTCTGAGCTAGTTGTGTATTAAAGTGCGTAAGAACCTTTATCCGCATCTACAGCGTGAACGCCAGCTCCCCGCCGCGCCCCCGCCAGCGCCGCCTCCGCCGCTCCGCCGCCTCGGTTCCACTCAATCGATTTTTGCTGCATGTCAACACTTACCACCGGTGAGTGCGAGGGCATTTCTTCTCTCTCGGTCTCTTAATGATTTCTGAGCTAGTTGTGTATTAAAGTGCGTAAGAACCTTTATCCGCATCTACAGCGTGAACGCCAGCTCCCCCGCTGGGGCTCCAATATGGCGAGCTGGAGGTCGGTGGAGGAGCCCAGGCCTGGCGGGCCGCGGACCGGGCCGCGCACCCCCGGGACGACCCCGTGGGACCCCCCTCGGGGAAGAAGCCTGCGCGGTGGCCGGCGGCCTGGGGCTCTCTGCTGGCCCCTCGTCACCTGTTACTCCTCGCGCCCCTTCTTCACCCGCAGCTCGGCCCTGCCTTTGAGGTTATTTCATTTTAAAAATCTTTATTTATTTATTTATTAAGATTTCGAACTCTTCATTCCCCAAATTCAAAAGGAGATTAGTGGCGACTTGGAGGAAGGTGTGTACAGCCCACGTTGGCCCCCGGTTCTCCCAGTCCTCAAATCTGAGTGTTAGTGGGTACAACTTGGTTAGAAATTGAATGTAAAAAATAGATCTGTAAGGTGAGCGGTGAAGTCCTCTCCTTCCCTCCCTGCCTGGTTCTCTCTGCCCCTACCTCCCTCCCATGAGGTGCAGACCTGCGGGAGCCCTTTAAGGGGTGTAACCAAAAATTAATGGGAAAAAATAAACAGCGTCTTAAACGTCCCAATATTCCTCGAAAGCCCCATAAATTCACCCTCTGAAGAGCAGGAAGCCCTTTTAAGGCATGTCTGTGAGAATCTGGAGCGACCTCAGAGGAGGGCAGCCCCCAGCCCGGTGGGCCACCCTGGGCAAACAAAGGGCTGTCTGCAGGCCACAGCCAGATTGCCACCGCCACCCACGGGAGGCTGGAGAAGGCCAACCAACTTTGTAAAAGGGGGCGGGTGTCAGCGGATCGGAGGCCTTGAACACAGACTGCCCGTGATTGACTTCTCACCCTGGGACCTCTGGTAATCTCGGCGCACCAGGAAGCCAGGAGCATGGCTGACCCAGAAGCTCTCCGGGCAAACGGACACATTTCTGGTGGCAGATTTTCAGAATGAAATTTTAAAAAAATAACCTCCCCCTGAAACAACTGCATTTTAACTGAACTTGAGAAAAGGGTACTCTGATATGAAGTTTTAAAATGGGGTAAGTGGAAGCATGACTATAAACGCATGGTAATTTACTTTTTCGTTTTAGCTAAACTGAGGCCATTCCTGTAATCCAAAACCAGGGTGACCCTGGCCTCCGTAGGACACCAGGCAGTGCTGGCGTTCCACCTGGAAAGGGACCCAAGGGCTGTGTTCTGGCCACCGTGCAGTCACTTCTGCATGGACGTTTTATGGAAATGTTGACTTCAGGTTTTGTCTGAAGGTTAGAGAAGGCCTGCAGGAAATAGAGCCCCTCATGGTAGAGGCTTAGTCCTCCCAGTGCCTGTGGCCCTGGGCCCTCTGCTGCGCTGAGGGGGCTCTGCCAGTTGTAGAACTCGGGAAGGCACCTGAACCCCAGGTCGCCCTGCTGAGGACAGCTGCAGGAGTCCATGGGTGTTTTTAGTCTAAAAAGCAACTTTAAGCTTTCCTTGACCATGAGGAAAGAGCGTACTGTGGGGTGGGGTGGGAGGACACTCCCTGCCCCCCAGCCAGGCCAAAAGAACTCAGACCCTGACCCCCTAAGTCCTGGGACTCTGCTGGCCTTTCCCAGACCCCACCCTCCCGCCATCCTCTGGCAGCACTTCCGGTAAAGTCCTCTCTTCTCTTCCCCTCCCCCTCTCTTTCTTTGTCCACAGTCAAGGTTTGGGGTGGTCTTGCTTCCCCCCTTTCTAGCAACTGAGAAAACGGCCTGCTGGGCCTGGGCCTAAGTGAAGCCCCAGTGCGAGGGAAGAGGGATCTCCTTGCAGCCCAGGACTCCCTCCATGGATGGTTCCTCTGCCCCTAGCCCTTATGCCTGAGTCCACCCTCCGCAGCGGCGCGGACCCCCTCCGCGCGGTCCTGGGCGGAAGCCTTTCTCTAGAAAGACGGGCTCTAGACCGCGCCGGCGCCGGGCTGTGGCTGTCCCAGAGTGGGGCCGCACGCGGAATGCGCGGCGGGGCTGGGCTAGCCTAGCTGCAGCCCCTGCCAGCCCTGACCTCTCCGCTCCCGGAGCCCGGCACAGTCGCTGTGCCCAGAGGCTGGAGGGCATCTATTCCTGCCCTCTGAGTGTTCGGACCGGGCTTCCAGGGCGTCACTGCAAGTGCCCGCCAGCGCTGGGCTGACCGGCTGTGTGCAACCCGCTATGGAAATGGGGGGGGGGTACCCTGCAGGCCATCCCTGGCGCTAAGGAAGGGGCTTTGCCTGCCAAGCCTAAACTGCAGACCATAGATTTTTAGAAAGTAAAATAACGTCAAACAGAAGAAAGTAAAAGAACGCCCTGGGCGCCAGGCCTTGGGGGAGACGTTCTGGGATGCCCCCACCATGGTGTTTGAAATCCTGGAAATGGAGGGAGCCCTTCAGATCGGACGACCAGGTGTCTCGGTGTTTCTGCGCCAGTTGCCAGTCGCCAATGCCAGGAGTTCCAGCTCCTCCAGCCGAGCAGAGCTCACCTGCCCCTGCCCTGCGGGCTCACCCGCCTGTCCAGTGCCGAGCGCCAGCGGATGGCCGGCGGTTCCACTGCCCTCCAGGCCCTGCTGGACCCACGAACTCCACGAGGACAATGCGGCCCAGCTCTGAGGACGCCCCGAGGTGCAGCCGCTGCTCCACAGGTGCGCCTTCTCCTAGGTCCCCTTGGGCGCCTGAGCCGAGGCCCTGCTGCAGCCATCGACCACGGTCCATGGGCCAGAACCGCTGCTTTATTACCTAAGTGCTCATTCTGGGGCCAGTGACAGGGAAACAGCAATGGGAAGATAGGCCGCCGGTCACCCTGACGGTATTTTCCAAGGGTCGGGGAAGCACGGAACACGGAAGGCTACCT